GAAGTTCACGTACCGCCTCGACGGCGACAACATCCGCTTCGGGCTGAACAAGGACCTCGGCTTCGACGAGCAGTCGCGCACGGAGAACATCCGGCGCATCGGCGAGGTGCGTGCGCCGCCCCTGCCCGCCCCAGGCGGCCGCTGACGCGCGGCGCGCGCGCAGGTGTCGAAGCTGTTCGCGGACGCGTCGTGCGTGACGCTCACCGCGTTCATCTCGCCGTACATCGCGGACCGCGCCGTCGCGCGCGAGCTGCACGCAAAGGCCGGGCTCGCGTTCATCGAGGTCTTCGTCGACGCGCCGCTCGCCGTCGTCGAGCAGCGCGACCCCAAGGGGCTCTACAAGAAGGCGCGCGCCGGCGAGATCAAGGGTGCGTCTCTCCTCTTCCCTCCCCCGCAACCGCTGACGGACATGCCCAGACTTCACGGGCATCTCGGCGCCGTACGAGGCCCCGGTGAGCCCCGAGGTGCACATCAAGACCGACGAGTGCGACGTCGCGGAGGCGGTCCGCCGGATCACGGCGTACCTCTCTGAGAACAGCTTTATCTAACTTATGGGATCGACGTAGAGCTGGCGGGTGTATTCTATCGGTGACATTGTATCGTTATTCATGCATTTTATTGGCCTCTCTTTCTCTGGGTCGTTATATTCGCATGCCACGAACGGGGGTGGATGACGCGCACGAAGATGGTTTGTATTCTCGACGCCCCGAGGGGCTAGCTTGCAAGGCATGATTCGGACTCACTCTGGACGCCGCGTTTGAAGGCGATGTCCAGCTCCCCGGTCTCAAACTTGCTTGTAGCCTCGCCGACCTTTTCTTCAGTAAGAAGGGGGCAAGTCTTACATCGACACGACCCGTGTGCAAGCTAAGGGCTCATCCGCGGCCGTGGAAACTATGCTCTACCCCGTGATGGCAACATATGCTTAGTACGGCACCAAGAAGTGGCCGCCAGCTGTTGGTTCACCGATTGGGAACCTACCCAGGCATTTCCTACAGCTCTGCGCCCAGAGGCATGCCTGGAAACAGCTACCGAAGCTGAAGACCGAAGATATGCAGGTGATCCGATTGCCTGCAGCTCAGTCTGAGGGCGTCAGCCTCTTGGGTGGTATCCGCACGTGCTGGATTTGGGGACGCACTCCGGCGCGAGATGGTCGCTGTGCTCGTTATTTGGGCGATTACAGGGCGTTCCGAACGTAGAAAAGCTACGACTCGTAGGGAGGGAGGGAGCGTCAGTTGACGTCACCGCGTCGCGACGCGCGCCGTAGATACCACCTCACACCAAAGGCTTGTCGCGACGGTGCGTCTCAATCTGTAGCACAGGAGCAGGTAACAGGGAGTCACGGAATGTCGCACACGGGATATACCATAGGCGCAGCAAGGTCACCCTTCATGGCGTGCCAATGAACGCGTCCCAAGGCCAGTCTCGGGGCCTGAAGCGAGCTGACCGGGGTCCGTATGTGAACTTATCGCTCTCCTTAGTGAAAGGGTAGGAGAGTGCCACGTAGAGGTAGTTGTGTCTCGTACGCTTTCCCCGACGAGCAAGTTTGCTCGCTCTCAGCACGAGCCATGTGTGAATGATAGATGCGTACCGAGCTGCAAGTCTTGCCGCTCCCTGCAGTGCATCGGGTTCGGGACGGGGATCATTCGCTCGCGGCAATCCGATGCCAGCAGGCAAAGCTGAGGCCTTCCACATCGTTCCTGCGGCCAACAAGAACGTTGCCCGAGAAGTTCCGCAAGCCTGCGGAGTCCCGCCCTGTCCCGTACGAGGAAAACGCGTGTAAATGGACGAATACGCTGGTGGCTGTTCAGCTGCAACTTGGTCACTTGCGCTGCACGGTGTATTTTATGTGTGAAGCACGTACATGGCCCCGACTCGTCCATGCGCTTCAAGGCATCCCCGCAAGCGGTACTGAGCGTGCAGACGACAACGCCGAGATCACAAGCAGCATGGATGCAGAAGGCGAGTATATAGAGCGACCAACATGGTGCTACGGGCTTCCGACCCTGGCTGTACGTCGTGGTCTGCGTCAGAGCCGTGAGCGACCGGAAAGAGCGAACAGGCGCGCAAATTTACCTCGACCTACCTCGACCCGCCCTTCTTTCGTTCTCGCTACCATCTCCCGTCTCCCCCTCATTCCCACACACGTCTGGGCCCATTGAGATGCAGGTCGCTCGCGGTGCGTACGAGACTCTGGCATTCTCTCGGCCGAACGGTGACCCATCCCTTCTGCCAGTGCGCGCCCAGCTCGGCCGGAGGCTCCTGCAGTCCAGGCCTCACCGGCAGGTCACATCGACGCTGACAAGACGTCTGCAGTCCACGGAGGCGTCTGCACCGCTGGTGCGTGGTGGTTTATCCTGTTCGCTTTCGCGGGGGCAACATGTCTGACCCTCGCTGCTCGTCATGACTCGGTTTCGCCCGCCCAGACGCCCCCGCCGCCCCCGCCCGGCTCGTCTCGCTGGAACCGCATCCTCCAGACGACCGGACGCATCACGCTCTTCACAGTGGTCACCGCGGGCGGCCTCTTCTACTATGTCGCCCACAAGGACCGCACGCCGGGCCCGCAGGAGCCGCACGACCCGACGAAGAAGACGCTTGTGGTGCTCGGAAGCGGCTGGGGCGCGACGAGCCTGCTCGAGTCGCTGGACACGGAGGAGTACAACGTCGTACGTCGCACAGACTTCCCCCGCCGGCCGCGGCCCTGACCCGCGCCCGCCGCCAGTTCGTGATCAGCCCGCGCAACTACTTTTTGTTCACGCCGCTGCTGCCGAGCGTCGCGACGGGCACGCTGAGCGCAAAGTCGATCATCCAGCCGACGCGCTACATGACGCGCCACAAGAAGCGGCAGGTGACGGTCATCGAGGCGTCTGCGACCGACGTCGACCCTGTGAACAAGATCGTGCAGTTCAAGGACACGTCCGAGGTGCAGGGCCTCGTGAGCAGCACCGCGATGAAGTACGACTACCTCGTGTACGCCGTCGGCGCGGAGACGCAGACGTTCAACATCCCCGGTGTGCGCGAGAACGCGTGCTTCATGAAGGAGCTGGACGACGCCGAGCGGGTGCGTCGCAGCAGCTGCCGCCAGAGACCTCAGCTAACGAGCAGCTCGTACGCAGATGCAGCGCCGCTTCCTCGACTGTACGTGTCTATGACGTCGATCACGCGAATCTGATGGGAATCTGTCCTCCCAGGTCTGGAGTCTGCCGCCTTCCCCGGCCAGAGCAAGGAAGAGGTCGACCGTCTCCTGCACATGGTGCGTGCACCGCCACCGCCTCTGCCCGAGCTGACCCCCTCCGCAGGTCGTCGTCGGCGGCGGCCCGACGGGCGTCGAGCTCAGCGGTGAGCTGCACGACTTCCTCGAGGACGACCTGCGCTCGTGGTACCCCGAGCTCGTGGACAGCATCAAGATCACCCTCGTCGAGGCGCTGCCGTCCGTGCTGCCCATGTTCAGCAAGCAGCTCATCGACTACACCGAGAGCACGTTCAAGGAGGCCAAGATCGACATCATGACTAAGACGATGGTCAAGGAGATCAAGGAGAAGAGCGTCGTCCTCCAGATGCCCGACAGGAGCATCCGCGAGGTGCCCTGCGGCATGGTCGTCTGGGCCGCCGTACGTTCCCTCGTGCCCTGTCACTGCGTCAGATGGCTGAACATGCCGTAGGGCAACACCCTGCGCGGGGTCACGCGCGAGCTGATGGCGAAGCTGCCGAACGAGCAGACGAACCGCCGGGGCATCACGGTCGACGAGTCGCTGCGCATGAAGGGCGCGGACGGCATCTTCGCGATCGGCGACTGCACGGCGACGTCGTACGCGCCGACGGCGCAGGTCGCGGCGCAGGAGGGCGCGTACCTCGCGCGCGTGTTCAAGCAGCTCGCGAAGCGCGACGCGCTGCGCGCGGAGCTCGAGGAGCTCAAGGGCCAGACCGCACCCGAGGGCGAGCAGGAGCGCAAGGTGCGCGTCGAGACGCTCGAGAGCCAGGTCGCGAAGACGGACAAGACGCGGCCGTTCAAGTACTCGCACCAGGGCTCGCTCGCGTACATCGGCTCGGACAAGGCGATCGCGGACCTCCCGTTCTTCTCGTCGGGCAACGTGAGTCTCTCGCCACATGCGCCGCGGCCGGGTGCTGACGCGCGCGTGTGTGCAGCTCGCGACGGCGGGCGTCGCGACGTACCTCTTCTGGCGCAGCGCGTACCTGAGCAAGCTCTTCTCGCTCCGCAACCGCGCGCTCGTCGCCAACGACTGGATCAAGGTCAAGATCTTTGGCCGGTGCGTCCCCCCGCTGACGTTCCCCCTTCTCCCCCCTGACCCTCGCTCTCCCCCAGCGACGTGAGCCGGGAGTAAACCCGCCCACCGCCCGCGGCAGAAAAAAGGCCCCAGCGCGGCGCGGAGTTGCGACTCCCGCACCCTCCATGCGGCTACCCTCCACAGACGCTCCTTTGCTCTCGTTTATGAAGCCCGCCGCTGCGGCGGGTGTGGTGTAGACTCTTTTCTCTCTCTCCCGATAGACACACTTTAGACATACTTGCTCGTTTGATTATTGTATCGCTTTTATTTGGGGGCGCGTGCGTGCGTGTGATGCAGTGCAAGGAGCGCACGCTGCGTAAGTGCGGGGTTTTGCGCCTGCGGCGCGTCTCGCTTGGGCCGTCAGGCAGGCGGGGCGTTCGGTGTGCTCTGCTTGGTGGAAGTTGGTGGGTGAGAGCGAAGTTGGCCGGCGTGGGTTCTCAGTCCTCGCTCAGCTGGGTCACGTCACGAAGGGTGCTCACATTGTGAGCGCAAGTGTCGCGCCGGGCACAGCTGAGGCACCGGGTCTTCTGGTCGAGCCTGCTTTGGACTGACCCTTCGTTCGAGGAGTTACCTATGATTCATGAAATCCAAATGTTTGCGGGGATTCAGCAATTTCAGTTCTTTCCTACTTGAAGGCTGACTATAGCTAGTGAGGTCTTGAGATGTCGAGATGGCATTGCTCGCCAAAATGTGAAGGCATCCGTACGAGTGCAAGTATATGTAGGCAGGAGTTGAACCCGCGCCCTTGACGGAAATCCGTCACGCTCTGACCATCTGAGCTACTACGACTTGCGCTCGCGCGAATGTTCATTTGGTGGTACCACAGTATATATTCTTTTGTTTGCACGCAGTATGAATTGAGTTCTTTCGCTTGGGGAGCTTAATCCATCCATGTCCAAGTGTTGGTATCCTGATGCTCACGGTGGCAGGTAGGGTAGGCGCGACATGGGCATCTCTCTACTAGTGGAACAAAACCGAGTACACCACTATAGCCAACACGAGTCTAAGGCCCCAACTATCTAGTTTATTCACTGTTTATAAACAGTGATAACTGTTTACGTTTATGATTATGTACGACCACCCCCGTGAACCGGCGTGAACAGTTTATAGACAGTAAACTAAACAGTATCGC